AATCCCAGCACACTACCTCTTGAGATAAGCCTTTGAACTTCGTGTGACATTGTCTTCCACATGAAGATATTTCTTCTATCTTTGTAGACCCTGAAATGTATTCATTAAATATTAAAGTTAATATAAATTTCACTTAAGACCATTGCAAACATCATTTATCTTATTAAAAATTGTTCTTAAACATAATCTTTAGCATTTGCTTTTATTCTGCTGTATAATTTGACTAGTTTAATTTTAAAGGAAAACATGGTTCTGTGCTATCTTATAACTTTAAGTAATACTAGAAACCATAACTTCCTTAATTCATTATCTTGACCATTAAATTTAAAGTTCAATTAAAAGCTAGGGTTTCCAAAACCCAGTGTACTCATCTCATATTTTAACATTTAAGATGTACAGAAATATATATTTTAACACATTTAAAATTTAAAAGCAAGCCAGGTGTGGTGGCTCTCGCCTTTAATGCTGGCACTCTGGGAGGCAGAGGTAGGTGTATCTCTGTGAGTTTGAGTCCAGCTTGGTGTACAAAGTGAGTCCAGGGTAGTCAGAGCTACCCAGAGAAACCCTGTCTGGAAAAACCAAAACACCAAAAAAAAAAAAAGTTCAAAGTAAACAGCCAGCTGAGGGACATCTGAACTTTGTGGACTCGTGCAGTTAACAACCCCCAGGTTGGCTTGCACTAGTTTTGCTTTTTCACCGTCAGAGTGTGTCAGGAACACCAGCCTGCTGCTCAGACCTCCGTGGGAAAGCTATTCACCCCATCATCCTCTCGGCATGGATTCATCTGTACAGCGTAAAGAGACGCTTTCACCTCCCAGTCCTTCAGCACCGCTGGCTTGTGACTTGTACAGAGTCCCTCAAGCCCTGCAGCCCACCGGCCCTTGCGTTCTCGTGCCACCTCCAAGTCTGTGTTGCAGAGTGTCAAGCTTCTCCCGTTTCTATAGATAGAATTAAACTATGCTGTGAAGCCATTCCTCCCGGTGTGGGTAGATGTGTGTGGTGCTACGGGTTAGGCCGTATGTCTTGACTTCCAAGACTCGATTCCTTTTAAAGTAATTTTTGTAAGTGTAGTTCACCTGATGATCCGAATCCCTGTTATCCAGTGCAACACTTTGCTCGTGCAACGATTAAGGCCACAGCATATTACCTTTCCCAGTGGGTACATGCTTACTTTTCAGGCCCGGTTTGGCCATGAGCGGTACAATTTGAAGCACGGATATAATAAAGCTAAGCAACAAATCTAAACTGGATCCCTCTACCCCACTGCTATACTTAGGAGCTTTGTAAAAATAAGCGTCTGAAGTGATCACAGCGGTAAGTCTCTCCATAGCTGTCTGAATACTGAGACCAGTAACATCTTATTTAACCACTGCATACACTTATTAGACATTTCTGTGTTCAGCTTCCATAATCAAGCCCAAACCCCTCACCATGGTCAGTTGGATAAATCCAGTCTCTTGGTAGGTGTCACCTTTCAAAATTCCAGGAGCGTGGGGGTGTCTTGACCACCTCAGTCGCTTCTCAAACCTTCTGAAAAGTTGCTGTACCATATAGAGAGGGTCTCAGAGGCTTCGAGTATTTCCTGGTGTGAGTTGGGTTTCATTAATTAGGTTGCTCTTGGGAGAGGCTTGGCTTTGGGACTGAGTTAGTTAGGAAGAGGGTAATAGTGGGAGGTTCAGCATGACCTCTGGGCATAACAAAGTTGCAGTTGATTCTTTAGCATTCCACGGCATCAGGGGAGGTACTGAGAGATGACAACCATCCAAATGACCTTACCCAAGCCAAGAACTCACCGGGGGCTGCTGGCCACAGATGGGAGTGCCCTTATGTGAGCTTTCCCTGTGGCCGCTTGGGCTTCCTTGTAGGTGGGGCTTGTGGCTATTTTTATTTGGGTTCTCATATCTACCACCCTTCCAATCCTAATCCCTTTTCATGCCCCAACACTAGGTGGGTGAGAAGGAAGGTTAGAGGGGAAAAGGGGGACATAGACCTTTGTAAACCACTTCCTGCCGGTCTGGGCTGTTGGGTTCCTTGGAGCGAGTCCAATCTTTGTTGTCAGGATATCTCCTACTTCTAATTCGTCTCTTTGTGAGCGACCACTTGACAAACCACAACAAACTGCAGCAGCAGGGGAGCAGCAGCCGCCTCTTCAGAGCACCCCTGGCCCCTCTCTCTTTACTCTGGCATTCGTCCCCTCTAAAAAGTTCCCAGAATTCCAAAGGTCAGCTATCCTCAGCTGGCAAAATCACGCCCTATACTTCCACTCATCTCAGCAGTCTCAGACTTCTCAGGCGTCCAGGCTTTCCCAAGGCTCAGGTCCAGACCCAGCAGAGTCTTGCTTCTGTTGCAATGTGGGCCAGGTGACCAAAGTCCATTCATTATTGAGGCACAAGAAGATGGGTATGGCTGTTTTCCCTCAAGAGCTTGACCAACATCTACAGCCCTCACCTTAGGGAACAAGGAAGCTTATTTACCTCACCCAGTAGTGTTACACAACATCCATGCTCTAATAACATTGACACTTCAATAGCTCACGGCGCCATGCAGGAGGTGAATCTTTCTCCTTTCAGTTTTGAGACTCTCTGTCTTCGCATCACACATGGGATGTGTTAGGATCAGGAAATAAGGACAATTGTCTAGTAATGAGAAAACATGTATCATATTAGAGAGTATGTAGGTTTTTCTAGATCTCAGGTTGTCAGGCAAGTCAAAAAGGTGTCCTATGTCTGAGTGACCGGAACCTGGTACAGGATATATCACTGCAAAGCTGGCCTTCACGTTTGATGAAGGGGAAATGTTTGGAAATAGGTTTTCCTACAATCCTCGGCCTATGCACACATGGGGCGGGGGTCATCTCCTGAGACTAGTGGTGAAGTTCTCCTGGTCCCCACCAGGCCACCCATCACACAGCAGCATCCTCTACTGTTGACACATAAGGACCCGAGCTGAGGAAGAATTCTGAGCCGTGGGGAGAAGGTGGGTAACTGTGTAGATGCCCACCCTCCAGGACCCCCTGCGGGTGGCACTCTCATTTGGACCTCTAGGTTCATAAGGGTCTGAGTTCTTACCTGACCTCAGGATCTTTCTCAGTTCAACGTCACACATAATCATGGCCAATGGCCCAGAACCGATGGACCAAGTGAAGTCAATTTGTAGTCTCTGGTGATGAACTTAGGCCTTACCTCCCTTCCCCACGAGTGCATGGATAATTGTCGGGCTAGGTTTCTGAATTCACATCAGCACTAGGCAAGAGTGGCTTGTCTTGGCAGTGGGAGACAGTGGCACACAAAGCCCCGCGAGGAACCATCAGAAGCTAAGGTTTGGAGAGGGGAAGCTGGAAGACCCGAGTCACAAGATAAACAGCAGTTCCACTGCCCTGGATCAGACTGCACACACAGGGGAAAAGTCCATCCCTGTTCTCAATGCAAAGGAAGAGTAAATAAATAATCTAACTTAAATCCAGCCCCCACCATTCACCTATTTATAGCATGAACTCAGGAGGCAGACATACCAGGTGAGCACTGTTTATAATAACATTCTCCAGAGACCTAAGTGGAAATTACTAAAATTATAGGCAGGTTGGCTATTTAGGGGCAATTACACACTTTTCTAAATTTGAATGATTCCTGGGTTAAGTGGATACCTTTGACGCCCAGGGACCATTCCAGACGCCCATCATATTAAAGACAGTTTTAAACAGAAAAGGCCAGGTCATGGGCTGATCTCTACTCCAGCCCTGAGATTCTTGAACACGAGAGTACACTGTGAGGCTAGGCTGCCTGTAGACCTCAGTGGTGAGGAACTTACCGTCATCATGAAGTAGCTACCATGCGTCAGAAAAGAACCCAAATGTTTGTTTTCAGAATTCAGCGTTGCCTACAGTTTACCAAAATAAGAAAACTAGGCCTTTTCTGTCTGAATTACATTTTTTTTTCTTCCTGTCACATTCTTGGAATGCCAGGAATATCAACCTAAGTAAAAGGATTGTGAAAGTTTGTATTTTTGAAATTTAAAAAAAATATTCAACTCATGGAAAAGAGAAAAAAATCTCCCCAAAACACATAACAAATAAGACATATGTAAGTTTAGGGCTGTAAAACTCATAAAATTATGACATTTTATTTCACTCTCACTGTGAGATGGTTTAGTGGCATTGAGATATCTCGTTCCATCAGAAATAGAGGAACAACACAAAACCTATAATTTGACTCTAAAATGATATTTTAAGGCCACAAAAATAGCCAATGTACAAGCTTATCTTCCGTCCATCAACCCTTCTGGCATTTGAACATCCTAAACTGACTAGCCAGTGTAGGAGAGAAGGAGGGCAAGAACTAAGACAGGAGGACCAGGAGGAGGGGGAGGGCATGAGTTCTGGAGTTAGTGGACAATGGTTAAAGCAGGCAAGCCTGTTGAGATGCAGAGAGGGGCACCAAGAGAAAAAGGGGAAAACAGATATGAGAAAAAGCCTCTCCTTGCCTCTGCTTCCTGTTTCAGTGTGTGGCAGTGCTGAGGAACGGCCAAGAATTCGTGGGCAAGAAGGAAAAGATATGGGAAGAGGTTTGCATCCCACAATCATTTCCAAAGTCTAAGGCTCTCCTCTGCGCTCCCCATGGTCCACGGCTCTTCACTGAACTCCACGTCCTAAATGCCCCACCATGTCCCAACTGCATCATCTTGGAACAAACACTTTAACACACAGCTCTTTAGGGAACATTGGGCAATGGTTATAGCATTTCTGACTCCTGATCTGGCCACCTCAAGGAAAAAAAAAATGGTCCTCGTTTTTCGGCTCATTCATATTACATATATAGCAACGAGAATCTTTGGAACCCTCCTACTTATCTTCTCTAGTAGACTGACTGCATTTCCTTATTTCCTTTCCACAGCCCAGGAACCCAGTAAGCAGAAGATTAAGGTTTAGACACAAATGAAAGGCCGTTCAAGACAAGGGTGTGGTGTGTTTCCGTCAACACAACCCTTTATAGTGACTACATCAACACTAATTTAGATGCTGAGGTAGTGCTCTCTTCCTACCATCTCTTAGGAGTTTGTAAACCACTCTCCCGGGGGTCCCTAACAGAAGCCAACCAGCCGGAGGGTGCTGGGGTAGCTATTGCGCATGGTCATGCATTTTTCCTGGTCGATGTACAGGGTGTTGGCTTTCACAGCCAACTCGTGCTCCAGGGTGGCTTTGGTATGGACCAAGGCCTGCATGGTGTCCTCCGAATCCCTCAGGCGCTGCTGCAGAGTCTGGATGGTGTCGTCCACCTCGTACACCTCGTTAACAAGGCTGCGAGAGGGAGAGCATGGTTAGGGAAGGGGGGCGTGTGCCTGCGGCCGGTCCCCGGCTGCTTTCAGGGCCTGCGCGCTCGTCAAATTCTACTGGAGATGTAGCTGACGCAGAGGGACCGGGTCAGAAGTACTTCTTACGGCAAGGAAGACGGCACCTGTGCATGCTTCCAGTGTCGTGCAGGGGAACCCTAGCGCCTGCACCCTGTGGTCCATAACCCAAAAGACAAACTAAGCATATCCCTGAAGTACCCGTAAAATTTCACACACACACACACACACACACACACACACACACACACACACAC